AAGGCTCACACTTTCGCAAACTCCTAAACGCTTCTTGTGATGTAGTAACGGAAGTATTTGTATGAAGAACTAGCAAGAAATAGACGTTAGGAGCTAATTTTTTTGACAATTCAAATCCAGCCTTGATCTCTGCCAGGTTTCCTGTAACGATCACTGCTGTATTGTGTCAGTGAGTGAATACCACCGACTAATAGCCCGTCTAGTGTAGGATATTAGAAATAAACTAACGACCCGGTTCATAAAATTAATAAAATGCATATAGTGTGCACCAGAATACAGCCATGATTCTGAAACTGTGTAATCAACAAAGTAATGACAATATTGTAAAACCACTGTAATATTTAAACTGTAATCAATAGAATAATATCAATGTACAGTTATGATTGTATTTAATGTAATGTAATCAACTGGATATTGACTATGGGCCATTCGAAATCCGAGTTACATTGAACTCACCAGAAGACCACTCCCAGAGGACACTAACTTCCACACCTTTACTGATTGGTATAAATACCTGTAGGAACCATTGTTCTGGAGTTGGCTGGTGGAGGCAGCTGACGGGCCCTAGGGATGGTCAATGGGCCCTGTGGCCTGTTGGTGCCAAAGACCAGCGGCTCCTCAGCTGAGATGTTCTTTTTACCACAACACCCTTTCTTTTATTAAATACATTTGATTTTAACCTTTCGATCCGATGCCCTCTGTCCGTCCTGCGTTTCTTCATTTTCAACACAACACTAGACACTGACAGGCGTCGTTGAAGTTCCTTCATTTCAACTCAGAAACAAGTGGCCGTCAAGGTATCAAGGTTGTCGCATTTCAGACAATCTTGGCAAAAAAGCCATTAGCCAAACACAGCGTCCTAAACAAAAAAATAAGCCGCAGAGTGGCAGACAAGAAGACACGGCTGTTTTCTTGCTAGTTGTTTTTTAAGCTGTTAACCATTAGTCAAACACACCATCCGTAACAAACAATAATAGTGAGTCGAAGAACAGCGGCCAAGAGCTTTGCATCAATGTTTGTGCTTTCAAAAGATGTCAGCAGTTACCAAACACATCACACATAACAATTAAAGCGGGCAACGACTTGCAGCCGAGCAGTACAGTAGCGCGTGTAATGGTACTAACGTTAGCTGTTAGCGAAACCCAACGTCTTCACATGAAAAGTGAGCTAAAGAGCAGCGTGTGTACCGGTAGTTCCGTTAGCCAAACGCACCGTAACCACAAGAGGTCCTTGAGCCCGCCACCATAACTGGGCTCCCAAAATATGACATAATGTGCCGCTGCAACAGAGAACAGCTCAGTCACAGACTCACGGATATAAGCACATGCGTGACGGAAAGTATGATCCTCCTGGCAGTCGTACTAATAAGTTTTAATTCTGCCTATTTTCTAACAGTCAGCCATTTGCCCAGTAATTTGACATTTATATATTGATACACAGAATTCCAAGGTAATGGCAAATGTTTCTGGACATTACTCAATATTTAAATCGATCAATGTTTATTATCAGTTTCATGACAATCGTTTTTTGCTTTTATAGTTATTTTCCAAAATAAAGAAAAAGAAAAAGCCTGCAATATATTTTTGTTTCTTTCCTTTTCAAAATATCACCAAAATGTGTGAAAAACATTTATTTATTTATTTACGCTTATGCCAAATTAGATCAATTTTCAATCATTAAAACCTAATAATTCTAATGAATAGAATTATCGTTTGTTTCTCGTTTGTTTCTTCCACATTACTAAAGAGCAACCCGTGATTATAAACATGACCTCAGGACCTTTCCCTTGGAAATCGTAATCGATGACACAAGGACAGCTGAGACCTTGAGGCAAACCCCCAGCCAGTCACAACATCAAACAGGACAGCACGGGTCGCACACAATGTGGCCGAGTTAACACAAAGTAACACATGTAACACACGAAAGGTTCTGACGTGTGCACCAATGGGGGCTTGGGGAACTCATGGAAAATTGCCCGGCCTCACATACGTACGCTAGAAGTGATAATGAAGTGTAATTTTAGCCCCCAACGTGAACCTGCGCCTTCCCCAATAGAAACAGCAGGGTTGTTTTGCATGTGAACACTGTTCTGACCTTTCTGTTTGAGGTCATATGTCCCAAATATATAACATTGTGCATTTAAAAGGGCACAGCAATAAATAATACAGGGAGATATTTTTAAAATATGTAGAAGATGTATTTGCAAACATAAAGCTTGCTGCAGGTTGTCAACATCTTGAAGCTAATTCTGTTTTTAATTGCAGATCGCTGTTAGCCAGATGGTTTTTGGGTTAGGTCACTTTGGTCCAAGTTGTAAATAGCCTGCGTCCATGGTTCCTAGAGCAGTGTTTCTCAATCTTTCCTGGGAGGCATTTTTTACATTAAAAAGATGGCACACCAACAACCAAAGCAGTTACAAAATGACTTAATTCCGGAAAAATCGAGTTTCCTGTTTCTCAGTTTGTGTACGCATGCAAACAAAATAATCTGTGTTCTTGTTTGAATGAACAGTTTTAAGCTTGCTTGGAACGACCATACTGTTGGATGGCTTCTCCTCACACAACAAGCATAACGAGTCGGTGAAAGTAAATCCAAACGAAAAATAGATGTTTCCGGGAAGGTTGTTATCCAAAACACAGGCCCATTTTGACCCAATGGCTAACTTCAAGCTTTGACTGGTTTAACACAAAGAGTGTTTAATGGCTGGCTTATCCGTTGTAACCCTCCACAGCTCGGGCCTTTGAGTAACACAACACGTTTTGAGCAAAAACATTGATTCTCAGATCAAATATCCAATGGATTATTTGTTCAAATAACCGTAAGTAATAACAAAGACCAGGTTCACGTCCCTTCTCCTCTGAAATTCTTAGAAAAGAATAGTAGGATGTCTTACTTGGAAACACAGACTCCATGGCTGTAAAACTTTCAACTCTCCGCACGCCACAATCACATGAGCACCATACAGGGTTTTCCGCTGTGACGTCATGAAACATTGGAGAAGCATTTTTTTAGCGCTGTTTCTCTCTCTAAATTGTGCGTGCATGTACTGCTGGGACCATGTGAGGTGGCCTGCCCCCCTCTCTCCCCCCTCCCTCTTTACTGTTGATCCCCATGGCAGCGGGGTGGGAACGTTGAGCCCACATCCCAACTTGTGGCACCATCGGCCTTTAATCTGCACTAAAGGCACGTGACACCCGGTGGAACCGGCATCACAGAGCTGCGCCAAACCGACCTGGAAGCAATGATGATGGCGCTGCACGGGGGACCTCGTATACAAACATTTAGATTTGCAAATGTATTGAAGTTCATTTTCCTTCTTCAGGATACGCACTAATGATTTTATTGTCAGACGGAAAAGATTTACTTTAAATCTCTTTCGATCATGACATTCCACTGTTCCATTGTTGGTAGCAGGTTATGAAAATGACTGCCAGGTCTAAATTCTCTTTTTTTGTCCGCATAGTTCCCCCTGACTTTTGCAAATGCTTATGCTAGATACACTTACGGACAGTTGTGAATGTATTAAATGGTAAACGGACTGTACTTGTATAGAGCTTTTCTAGTCTTCTGACCATTACATGATATCATTCACCCATTCATACACTGATGACAGGAGAACCACACACAGTGACACCTGCCCATCAGTAACTAACATTCACACACTGTAGTCGCAGCTACAGGATGTTGGGTTAAGTGTCTTGCCCAAGGACACATCGACATGCAGGTTAGCAGAGCCTGGGATCGAACCAACAACCCTCTGAGTGGAGGACGACCGTGCTCCCCACTCACCCACAGTCGCCACGCTGTTATGCATGAGAGTTTACCAAAATGTCAACCTTGGCTTTAACCACCAAAGTACATTTGTGAAATGAAAAGAACCCTGAACAAGACCCTGATTGAACACTGGAAACAGACAATAGGCAACAGCAAAACAGCAAAGCGTTTTACAAATACAGGCCATTTATATCAAGTCAACCTTGATATGCAAGTTCAAGATTTGCAAAAAAACACAATCTCAAGCTTTGAAAACGCACAGATTTTTTGTACACTTAGGAATAAGGGATCCAGGAAGGTTTGTGTGAAGAGCAGAGGTTCTACCCAGAACCATTTTTCCTCCACACAGGACACTACTGAAGAACTGTTTTTTAAAGGGTTCTTTAAGAACCGTTTGAGGTCAATACATTGAACGCTTGTCTGTTAAATACTATGCCAGCCCGGTGTGGAACCATTACACCACTTAAAGAGTTCACTGTAGATCATCCTAGAGGGTGAAAGCTGGAGACATGAGTCATTGCCAAAACGAACGCTCAGACAACCGCCTGATGTTTAGTGAATCATTCTTAAGACATTCCTTCTTGCAGGTATTTGTTCTACATGACGGGACAGGGAATGGCATGACAGGAACGATCGGAGTTTGTGATTCATTCATGTACAAGTCATCCCGTACAAACGAAAGCTAACGGATGTTTGATGGCATTCCTGATTCATCGTCGTGTAGGATGCATCCAAAATCGCTCATATTTAGAGAAAGCAGAACATATTACACGATATTGAATTTCCAAGTTGACATGATTATGTAAAAAGAGAAAAAAAAAAAGTCATTGTTTTATCAAGTTGGAGTCAAGATCAAGTGACTTGATCATTTATGGCTGTAATCTTCATATAAATGGTTCTTTGGTGCAGAAAAGAAAAGCAAAATAAGTTGGATTAACCAGTAAAGCTGGTTTGATTATCAGGAATTAGTTTAACAAAAGTCTGAGCGCTGCTTGTACACAAATGGTGACAGTGTAAGGTTTAATACTGCAGGTTTGTTTTTTTTAAAGGACATGAAAGGAAACTCTATATACAGCTCATGTTCAGACCTCAAAGACTGAACTTCCTGAGCTGACCGACAAGCGAAGCCAAGCAGGAGCCAGTGCTGCACCACCAGCCAGTCTACTGCCCGTCGGAGGAACATTCAGATAGACAAAAGGTTACACCTGAAATGATAAGTCAGACAATTTCTTACAAATAAGTGTTTATTTTTCCAAAAGAAAAGTTATTTACATTATGTACACCCTTCCCACAAACTGCAACATTAACACTACGCAAAAACTTCAGAGAAGGTTGTGTGCAATAAGATCAGGTGTCGGCCACTTCTAAGAGCATCGGTAATCTCCCAGCAGAAAGGCACACTTCTTGGTCACAGACAAACACTCACAACATAGAAACACTCAGTTCACACACACACAAAAATACTGCATCGAGGAGAAATGCATTCAACATATGCTTCATTAAGAGATGTGCATTGATAAATAACGTTGGTCTTGCAGTGCTTCCATTTTCCTCATAAATAAAAATGATTTAAAATGTACAGTGACTGCATTGCTGGCGCAGGTCCACCGGCACACATCTGTATTCTACGTCAATAGTCCACACAAGAAACCTTCTGCAACTCCTCGGGCCACCTTAACACGTCCCAGGACAGCCCCTTGCTTTACATCCTGCACATTGTACTTCCCGCGGACGAGTCCTCGTCTCTAGAAACCTTCCAGGTGCAGCCAAGAGTCCAATCGAGCCCCCACCCCCCCTCCATCACCGTGTGCTGTTCAATCCTTCTACGAAAACAAAGTGCTCATAGAGAAGGCGATGCTTCTCGCGATCCTTGTTGGCTCCCCGTGGTGATGGTGCATTGGTTGTTGGAAGTGCAGAGTGGTTACATGGGCAACCTGTCAATCAAACAAAGGTTGTTTAGACTATTGTACACGCCATTCTGCAGCTTCTCCTACACTTAATATCAAAAACAACGCACTGCGTACCGTTTTCGTGGCTTCACTTCCCACCCATCACGACATTTCACAAACGTTAGGGAGTCTCCCGGGGAAATTTCAGTTGTTGCCGGATCTTGGGCACAGAATGTAAACCTGCGAGGTCAGAAAGGAATCAGTTAGCGCCAGTCAAGAACAATAAATCCTGGGAGGTGGTGCCACCAGCCCCTACTTACTTCTTCTGCGTTTCCCCGGCCTTCACGCGAATCCGCCGGACTGCCAGCACAGGTTTGGTGGGCTTGGTGTTCCAGGCCCACCAATTCTTCTTGATGGTCTTCCACACGGAGTTCCAGGTTTCAGAATCGCCTTCCCAGCTCAGACGGATCTTCAGCAGGTCACCAATATCCTTCTCAGTGAACACCAAGAAGGTGTTGGTCAGGTTCAGGCCGATGGTCTCATCAGGGCTGCGCAAAAAAAACAAAAAGTAGTTTAAAAAAAACAAAAAGCAGCAACGAGGGTCCGACAGACTTTACACCACATCATGCTTATACAAACAAGGTCAAAGCAAAGACATCAATGGGAACTGCTCCAGTGAGAGCATCACATGGCTGGCGCTTAGAAAAGGTCAGACCAAACAAGATTCCAGTTCCAAATTTACATGATGGCACGTTGCGCTTCCAAATCCCTCAGACGTGCAGCTGCCAGCGCACTGGTAGTTTTATGGGTTGTCATTCTAAAATGTAGTGAGGAAAAACATTTGATGGATTTTTGAACTTACACTTCCACAGACATGTTCTCCGTATCGTTATGGGCTCCGTACAACTTGACGTGGAAGGTTGGATCTGCGTTGTCAGCCTGTTTTCTGTTGAACACGTGCATCTTCATCTGGTAGTGGTAGCCTTCAAAAAAGGAAAGAGTTAATGTTTGACAGATTATAGTCAGTAGTAGTTTATTTGTTAAATGGGTTGCCGTTAAAAGATAAAACCACGATTGGTCGATTATCGCAGACTCGTCACACGAGGAAGTGACTGGTAGTAATAAAAGCCCAAACTCCACGACTCACCTCCGAAGGGCATGTCGGCACGCGTCTTCAGGTACATCTTAGTGTTGCGCCTCTTGCGCATCTTCCGGGTGTTGTAGCCGATGTTGTTGCAGCGGTTCTTGCGGCAGCTGAGGCAGATGCCCTTCTTGAAGCGCTCGGGTCCGGTGCACTGGTAGGCGAAGCTCATGTGGTCCTTGTTCATCAAGGAGTCTACAAACAGGTGCACGGCACGCTCGTGCTCGCACTTCATCACCGCCATGAAATCTGGAGCAGGAGGAAGGCCGGGTTAGAGGGGATGAAGTGAAGAGAACGCTGCGACAATTTTTGTAGAGGTTAATTACGAACATGAAAATCAACCAAGAAGCGCTGTGGCTGGAGACTCCCGTGATCACTCCGGGCTCTACAAAGCGGTTTTGAGCACTTACTTCCAGCCACTGCCAGCACATCTCCCAGCGCACAGCCTGGCTGCACGTCGCCGCCGTTGGGGTAGATGTCAATGTCCCCGATGGGCTGCTGGATGCCGATGCTCACGCCCAAAGCCTCGCGGGTGTACGTGTGCAGAACATCCACAAAGTCAGCGTCATCGGGGGAGAGGCGCTTCGCTTCTTCAACCCCCTCGAACATTGGTCCTGCTGGGTCGAGACCTGTAGAAATAAGCGGCGGGACAGGAGGTCAGGACAATGACACGGCATCATCTTTTTCTCTGTACATTTGTCTTGCAACTTTAAAAACGTACCGGTGATTCTGCCAATGCTCCCTCGCACAAATGTACCGGCGTAGCCTGCGACGTGGGCGCCCAAACTGTAGCCGATCAGGTGCACGTTGTCCAGAGGCAGCTGCTGCTCGTCCTGTGTGGAGGGAAAAAAAATAAAGTTGCAACTCACGTCAGCAGCTGCCTCCATGGACACTGAACCCGCACTGAAGAAATGTTGGCTCTCAGCCAGCGATGAGCCGTCGTGGCTGCAGCCGAGCGCAGCTCAAGTTAGGCAGGACAGAATCTACTGACCGTCGCGTTCATGCACTCTGAAATACCAAAGAGACCCTGATCCTTTTTAGAAAAGAAATCGGAGGAAAGTGGTTCTGCCTCAGTGCTTCTACATCCGAGATCAACATCACCTGGACATTTAGCATTTCAGGTAGTCAACTGCTCCTCTATCACGCAGCAATACAGAGCGCTGCCATAAGTCACTTATCCGAATAGGATCCCGCCCTGCATTCTGTATTGAGGAAAACCATCGTTTTAATGTCCGGATTGGATCCACAGCAGAACACCAGTATGGCCGTACACACCTGAAGCCAGTTGAGCATTCCGGCAATGTCGAGGCCAACGTCGTGGGTGTGGTTGACTGCGTCTGGGTACAGCTGCTGAGCCATTGCTATCCAATCAACAACCACCACGTTGGCGTCCGTTTCGCGCTGCATCAAGGCCGAGACCAGCTTGTGCATCCAGCTTTCGAACATCCCACTCATCTGAGGGAGGAACAAAAAGGAGAAAGAGTCAGTCAGCCAGCTTGAACCCTCAGATGCGGAGCTGGGGTTTGCTCACATTCAAGTGCTAAATTCCAACCAGCAAAGCCCTGTGGTAGGACCCCTGGATGGAGACGGCATAGAGTAGGACGACCTCCAGTAACACATACCGTCCAGCCGTGGATGATAAAGATGGTCTTTGCTGTGGCGTTGAAGCCACACTCCTCCAGACATTCCTTCTTGCCGGGCTGCAGGTAGCAGCCCTCCTGGTCCAGATCTAAACTCTTCCTCATGTTGTACTTGACGCTGCCAAGGAGACCCCTGCCGTCTGTTGGCAGTTCATCCAACCCGCGGTCTGCACCTGAGGGCAAGAGGACACTCCATGTCAACGGTGCACGTTTACTTCCCTTAGTGAGGGATGCAATACATTATTTTTAAATCGGAAAGAAAAGATGTGGGGAGGGGCAGCCCAGTAGTCAGCCAATCAGCTTGCTTTCGCAGAGAACACGCGTTTACAATAACGCTGGACGAAAGAGCGCCAGACGCGCAGGCGCAGAATGGAGCCGACTCACACAGCTGCAACCAGATTTGGGGATTATTTCGGATTTAAAACTCTCGGGCCCGAGATTAAAGGGCTCAAACTACGCAGGAGGCCGGCGGGCGGATACTGACGAGATCATCCACGTGATAAGAACCAACATGTTGTAATTAAAGCCCAGATGTTGACCTGCTTGTGTGCGTCTCGTGATCCCACGCGGTCTCTTAACCACAATCCCGTCTGAATTTTAATAAACTAAAAATAAATAAATAAAGGAATGCATACATTTGGGCCACACAGAGCGGCATCCACAGTCAAACGGGGGTCGTGGGGGGGGGGGGGGTCGGTCCGCAGTAAAACGCGGATCCGCGCTGCGAGGAGGAGACGTGGCGCACGCGAGTGTCCTGTGGAGTTTTGCGTGGAGACTCCCGACGGCTCCCTGCAGAGGACACGTCGCAGTCTCCTACAAGTCCACGCCGGGTTTTTTTCTGGTGGGCTCGGCCCCGCCACACTTGTTCGCTTCCGTCGCTTAACAGCCTTTAACAATATGCAGATGAACGGCGCGAGGACGTCGGCGAAAGATGAGCAAACGCGAGGTTTGCGCCATTTCAACCGTCGTTCCATTCACGGATTCCCCACCAGCGCGTCTCTGTCCTACTTTTTACACCAGGTGCTGGATGTGGGACGCTTCCATCGGAGTGCGGCACACAAACACACGACATAAATGAGTGAACAATGGAGGCAGAGCCGCGTCTCACCTTTAGGAACCGCGTCGTCCCCCGCAGCGGAGGTGGAGAGCGAGGCGGCGCACTGTAGGAAAATCCACAGCAAAAGGGCTTCGTGACTCATTTCTCAGTCCCGGGCGCGTGTGGAGGAATTAAAAGCGTCCCGGGAATATGAATATGAATCGCCTTTCAGGGGAGCCGGTGGCGGCGCGTGCGAGGAAGGAGGACCTGAGGGAACCAAAGAGCGCGACGGATCCGGTGGAAGCGCAGCCAGAGCAATGCTAAAAACTAGTGTCTCATTAGAGTTTTAAATAGTTTGCCCCTTCCCAGTCAGCTGATCATCGGCTGATGTCTCGCGCGTCTCATTGGTCAGGCCCCCGTTTGTGTAGGTCGTGCGGGGCGTGGCAAAGATGAATGAACTCGTAGTAGTTCTTCTCACGTTCCCATCCAGCTGCTCGGCGTCGCTGTGGCCGCGCGGGGTTGAAGGCGGTGGATCATCTGATCCACACATCAATTATCAATACACTCGCAAAGATGTGGGAATTTATTATTATGTATTCAGTGTTAATCAACAACACCCACACCCCTCTGAGAGGTAATATTTAAAAGGCTCGTGTGGATGTGTGTGTGTATCGTTGTGTGTAAATGGTAAATGGACTGTACTTGTACAGCGCTTTTTTAGTCTTCTGACCACTTAAAGCGCTTCAACACTACATGACATCATTCACCCATTCACACCCATTCATACACTGATGACAGGAGAACCACACACAGTGACACCTGCCATCAGTAACTAACATCCACACACTGTAGACGCAGCTACAGGAGCAATGTTGGGTTAAGTGTCTTGCCCAAGGACACGTGGACATGCGGGTCAGCAGAGCCAGGGATCAAACCGACAACCCTCTGATTGGAGGGCGACCGTGCTCCCCACTCACCCACAGTCGCCCCATAGAGTGTGTGTGTGTGTGTGTGTGTGTGTGTGTGTGTGTGTGTGTGCGTGTGTGCGTGTGTGTGTGTGTGTGTGTGTGTGTGTGTGTGGAGGGAGTGAACGCATCCCCCCCCTGCCTGGCGCGCTGCCAACCATAAGCTTATCTCCACGGCTCCAACCGATGAGGAGAAGAATGGGCGCACTCACGCAAGGGGTGTCTGCTATAATAACGCCACTGTGTTGTGTACGTACAACAGCGCGCCCACCTCCCCTCCTGGGTGGGGACACATGTCAGCTGCCACATCAGCCCCCCATCTACCTGCTATTCAAACAGGCTGGTGTACTACTGCACGTAGACATAAACGCACTGAACTGTTTCCTCCCACTCTGTATGGCCTCTATCTATCTATCTATCTATCTATCTATCTCTTCCAAATTGCTTCCACTTTTTATTTTTTGATCAAATGTACCAAAAACATTATTATGAAAGAAATCGATGCAATACAAAAAATGAGAAAAAGATGTGAGTACAACAACACAGTGACGTCATCCCCCTACGGGCCTACGACATGTGTGGTGTGCCCATTGTGTGTACTGTACCATTTTCTTGTCTTATCTCAACTGAAAACAAAAGAGTCATTGGTGTGAACCTACCAAGGTAATTAGGTCAAATCAATCTAATCCCTCACTTGCTTCACTCTATGAACCAACTGGACTGATGATGAAATGATCTTCAGAAAAGCGGGATCAAGGGGAAGAGCGTGAGACTGATACCATTGAAAATAACTTGAGCTATTTTTATCCATTTATTAATAGCCATACATTTCCTCTTTTCGAAGAAAGAAGAAGGTGCATCTCCAGAGGACACTGAGGTTCAAGCGATGAGAAGCGAAGAAGAAATAAGGATCTGGCTGTTGTAGAAGGGGGTGGTTTCATGGACGTCGTTGACCTCTGGAGGGCAGCAGGCATTGCTGCATCCCATGATTGTTGTGTGATATTCTGATATTGAACATACAGCAACAGCATTTTATTTTACAAGGATTTGATAGTGAGAAAACTGCTTGAAATGTCACGCCACGTTCTCCTAATTCAGTTCCGTATCTTAACATCTTGTGAAAAAATGAAGAGCAGAACTCAATGACATCCCCGGGTTAGTCTGTTGGACCGAAGCTGACACCGGCAGTGATATTTATTCCAACGTTAATGTTGCTTCTCATGCAGGTCATTGTTATTCTTTCCATCCACACGCCTCAGCCAGCCGCCCAGTCAGACACACAGTTTGATTCTTCACTATGCGGACACGTCCAGGTTTTGTCCCACAACGTCAAGACCCAACAATGAGACACTGTGAAGGGAGGGAAACGGATCACCTGCAGGCTGCTCCGTGGGGAGCGCAGAGAGAGCCTAACTTCAACATCTTTGTTCCCTGTCATACATGAAGTTATTCCCCAAAATCTCACGTGTTGTTCTTTTTGACGTGAGCAGTTTAACTCTTGTCGTTCTTGGTTTTTACTTTATTCTCTTATTTTATACTAACCCATAGCCTTATTCTACTAACCCATATCATTAGCATTTCATTTTATTTTATTACTTGTGCACTGCTTATTGTCTATTGTTACACTGTCTACTGTCACGCACCAACCGCCAAGTCAAATTCCTTGTATGTTTGACATATTTTGGCAATAAATGTTTTCTGATTCCTGAAGGCTACTTGTGTGTGAAGCTTTCAACGTGATCTACCCAATTTTTAAATGGCCAATGACCTGAGTGAGACCACATGTGAGCCCTCATTTGGACAAATTCAGTGTCAATTAAATCCCAGCGATGTTGGGGTTATAACTATTTGTTAAAAGGTATTTCAATGCCAGTAAGGACGTGTAATGCTTTTTGCGTACTTTTCTAGGTTAACCGAAGGTGGAAACACATGATATGTCGGCATGACAATCGATGATGCATTCAGGGAACCTGTACACAAGTACCTGCTCAGAGTGATGGATAACAATAACAGATTCCTACAAGCCTGGTTATAACTGTAAGCCTGTTTTCCATGCACACGCATAAGTCGTGGAACCGAAAGTGACGCACCAGCGCCACCGTGTGGTCGTGCGGGCCGTGCGCGCCACAGTGACACAGCAGGAGGGGGGCGGATGGGGAGGGGGGCGGAGGCAGCGAGCCAGACCGGATCCTTCATGAGGGAAGAGGCCAGGGACAGCCAACCAACCCCGGCTTCTCTTCTCTTCACTAATATTATTCTGTATTGCAAGCCGAGGAGCCCGAAGAGGGGGCTGCGCTAGCGTCCATAGGATGTCCCGTCACGAAGGTGAGGATACGCGTCGGCACGGTGGCGCGAGCCATTGGGGATTTCTGATATTAAGAAGCGTTGACAGGGCACCGCTAGCTAACGTTAGCTAGCCTTCAATTTCTTGTTTTGAAGCCCGTCCCGGCTAACGTGCGCTAGTGTTAGCAGCAAGGTTGCGGTGCAGTTTCGTGGGGGCGCGTTATGGCGGACACGCAACAAGGTGCGTCGAAACCACCGCACCTTGCCTGTGACATTTGCGTTACGTTTTAGGAAATGTAACTGTAGAAGCAGTCTGACAACGCTGACATTTAAGCCGCACAAGCTAGCTACCGTGAGCTAAGCGTGATAGCTAGGCTGCAAGCTAGCTGGTAATGGGTTATGTGGGTTAGGGGGGAGTGCCGAGAGTAGGAAACGCGTGAGAGCAGCGAGTCCCAGCTGGTGCTGCCGGGTCCGGGAATGGTCTTTTCGGTGAGGTTCGCTTGTTCCAGCCTCCTTCCGACTGCCAGGCGGCATTTTAGGTTCCAGTTTCGCGAGCTAACATTTAGCAAACTGAACACCAATTTCGCCCTTGCGGCCAACCTTGTTGGGCTCGAAGTTCGCTGGTGTCGGGTAAAAGTTAAACGTTAAGTTAGCTAACGATGTCAACGACGCTGGAAGTTCGAGCCCCTCCGCCGGCGAAGCCTTCGGTTAGTTAACGTCGGTTAACGTACGGTGACGTCTTAACCCAGCTGACGTTTAGCTAAACGGCAGCTGGGTTAGTTGAGGTGAGTCGGGCCAAAGCGGCCTTCGGTTTCCGTGTGGTCAACTTCTCTGTCGGTAGTCATCGAGACGTAAAGGCGCCTGTGCTCGTTCTTGTCATGGATGCGGGGTCTGCCGGCACCTGAGCGCTACCGGCGGTGTCATTCAACACGCCGGCACCGCACAACTGTCCGAGTCCGTCAAGAACCACCACAGGGTCCCGGATGTTGTGACACACAAGGTTAATAAGCCCTTTGGCGTGCGGAATCAAAACATTTCCAGTGACTGCTTTATGAATAAGCCAGGTCTTAAGAGTATTATCATTATTAAAATGTGAATGGGACAGACGGTTGTGGCGTCAAATTACTGTCAAAATTTGAGAGCGCAAATCAGGTTGATGCGCGTAAATCAAACATCCGCGAGCCAAAGTCCGTCTCGCGCGAGATATTTGCTCGCTCGCGAACCGTGAACGTCCTCTCTCGCGAGGTTAGTCTCTGCTCGCGCTCGAAGGTGTTTTCTACGCGCTCGCTGTTTTTCTTTTTGACAGTAAGGGGGCGGAGCCGGTCACCATGGTCTCTACACCTGATTGGTTACAAACCCCGTCTTTGGATTGGCTGGAGTGATGCGTTCACACACCTATAGAAGCCCATTTCCGCACTACAGAAAGGGGATAGAAATTCGAAATTATGAGATAAAACCTTGTCAAAAAACAAACGCCCCCCTTCGGTAATCGTAGTGGACCGTAGATGACAACCAGCTACAACCATCATTTACCATCATTACCGGCACATTAAGAGCAATGCGTCCAGCTCGCAGACCGGTCCGTCAGTCTGAATCTGAATATCTTGCCAACTTTACCGAACTATGGAGGAGCCTGCGCATATCTTGTATATCACATTCACTACAACCTCATTATCTATTGTTTTCAAAAAGTCGATCCGTATTGAAAGTTGGCAAGATATTCACAGATTCAGACTTTTTTTCCCGATATTTTACAAATACGGGCCGCTAGCGAGGAAGTTCACGTTTCGCGAGACAGACTTTTGCTCGCACGCATCAACCTGATTTGCGCTCTCGAATTTTGACAGTGATTTGCCGGCATAGACAGTCGTTTAACACTCGTTTAGCAAGAGGAATAGTAAAATATTGCAACGATGCAGTGCAATATCCACGCCATAAATACTCACCGGATGTGGTCATTTTACTCCATGGTTTTTAGACTAGATGCCGAAGGCACTTCCTTTTGGAAACAATTTTGAACCTATTTTCAATTTTATTGTGTTACAATCAACCACAGAGGCCCATCATAGCGATAAAAAACAAACTGCAATACTTGGAATAGAAGGTTATGTTACCCAGTACTCAACAGCACGCTCACCACGATACGAGTTCATCTTCTCTCACAGCCTCAAATAAAACGTAACATTACTGTGCACAAAAGTATTATTGCAGGATTTATCAGAAGAACTGCACGTCCCAGTTCAATGTAATCTAACTTGCCGAAGGACATCTCAGTTAAAACCTCTAATGTAATGGCTTTATACGAACAAGGAATACATGGTAAATAGTTTTAAAGTAGGTGTCCAAACTCTAACCTTCTCTTGTTGTTTCCTCTCTTGTCTCCTTCAGGCGTGAGCTGCGACGCATGTTTAAAAGGCAACTTCAGAGGACGACGATACAAATGTTTAATCTGCTACGACTACGACCTGTGCGCGTTGTGCTACGAGAGCGGCGCGACCACGACCAGACACACCACAGAGCATCCCATGCAGTGTATATTAACCCGAGTGGACTTTGGTAAGTGGAATTGATGTTCACAACAGCCTGATGAATTTGGTGTGGAATTGTAGCCACAGAAGCTTGTCATTCTGCATAGTGCTTTGTGTTGGTGTGACTAATGTGGTTTGATGACACTTTACCCCGATGGACAGATGTTTTTCTGAGTTGATGTTATTGCAAGCCAATTAATGAGCTATTAAAAATAAGTGTCTCTATAACTGCATCTAAAGAGGGATTGTGTATGTGCATGTGTTTACTCTGCCAGACTGTCGTGGCAAAGTAAACCAAAATAAAGAGACGGCATCACTTCAATTGCAAACATCTGTTGTTATTATAGGAAGGATTTATGCATTTGACTATTGATGCACAAATAATAAACAGCTGTCATTCCTTGGCTTGTGATTGTTAGGATAAATGCTGGCAGGTTTTGCAAAACACCCTTCAGTGGTTTTAATAAGTTAAACTGTCGCTGTCTACGCCGCCTTCTGCTGCCGCTGGCTTTCGTTTTCAGACGGAAAGGCTGCTCCCAGACGCCTGTGATTGATGCAAACCCAACAGCTTGAGGAGTTTTTGAGAGTTTTTGGGCTACTGATCTAGTTTATCTCGACATAAATAAAAGCAGTTGTCGTAGCGATGGGGAAAGCTATTCCAATCCGGAGTTGCAGTCAATTTAGTTCATCATGATTTATTGTTTGATTTATTGAAATTATACTAGATGTGTTGATGTCTATTTAAAATGAAGGTTTTGTTTATATGAACCATTTATCTGCTGTTTGATGACTTTGACTGTTATTTCACAGCGACAATGTAGGAAATATGTTGATGTTCAGCCTTTCACACGTTGTCTGTTGTACAAACGGTTGATGAAAACACAGCAAAAGGTGCAAGCTCATAAAACTTCTGTGGCTTTAACGTAACACCCCCCCCCCCTCCCTTGTTGACTATTTTCCTAAGAGGACAGTTGTATTATGAGCTGCTACTACTACTACGCTCTCGCAGTAAACATGCAAGTAAAAGTGTTTTAAAGCTACAACAATCTGTTTTCATATTGTCGATGTGAAATGACAGAATTCTTACTAAACCCTTCCAATCCACTCGGCTCCTTCTCACCATTGACAACCAACACTACGAGAACTCTCCACCACATTGCACCCGCACACAATTAGCGTCTAGCTGGGGAACAAAATGGAGCTTTCATAAATATGAAATAATTTGATCTTTCCCCTTAAATTTGTGGCGGTCCAAAACAAAGCTAGCAGGAAAGTGGATACTGACTTTCATCTATCAAGTGGACACCAACGGTACTTAAAAGAAATGCTGTCTGCTGGACATCCTGTTGGCTAACACGTTCACCACACCCACTGCAGTGTTTGCCCCACCATTATATTAGGGGGGCTGCCTCCCCAAACGGCTCCCCCCACTGGACGGCCGGGTTCTTTGTTTTGTTCTAAACCACCGCCAGGTTTTTTCCAGGTACTTGTTTGGGCTAATAGGGCTGTTTTACTTACTTACTTTTGTGGCACAGTTAAAATGGTTTGGTTTACTAGAAAGTGTTTGTTCTCAGCTAAATTGAACCCACTTATTTATTCCTCTTGTCCAAATTGACTTTAACGTGACTTAGTGCGTGTTCATCCTTAACCTGCAAGTTTCTGCTGCGTTCTAACATCTTCCATCTGTGTGGGAGAACCAGAGATCATTGACAAAGGTCTGCCTTGATTCTCCCCCCCAGACCTGTACTACGGCGGAGAAGCGGTGTCGGTGGAGCAGCCCCAGGCCTTCACATGTCCATACTGTGGCAGGATGGGCTACACGGAAATCTCCCTGCAGGAGCACGTGGCTGCAGAGCACACGGAGACCTCCACAGAGGTGGTGAGTTGTTGCTGTCCCTTCACGCCCAGCCTCCAATGAACGGGATGTTTTGGAGATATTAGGACCTACAAACATCCACGTGCCTCAGAAGGATTTTTCAGTATTCAGTAAATGAAGTTGTGTCTACACCCAAAGCCACGTTTTGCTGAGTTATTGTCAAATGAACAACTTTAAGTGGAATGTTTTAGGTTCATCCCTGTTGCAACTGTCTGCAATCTCCATCCACGGAGGCAAAGACAGTAAATAAATAAATGTAAAACCTGAATGATCACATCACAGTTCTCACTATTTGTGCAGTAAGTGCATAGAGCAGTCTTTCCCCTTCACCTGACTACTACCATCATCATCCAGGGTTCTTTATGACCATTTAAGAGATTTCCAACTAGCTCAGCTGGAAGTCCAGACACTTGTTATTAATCCTAACAATAATTGAAATGGCAATGTTATCAACCAAGCTTGTAAGTATTTGGTACAGTAAGATCTGCAAGCCACACAACACTGTTCTGAGAGTAAAGTTCAAACAGATCCTAGTTTAACTTTAACTTTAATACGCTTTAACACTCCTGATATGGCTTCTTCTCATAATTAAATACTGCACGGCAGATATTTGCTCATCTCAGCGTTTGTTCAAGAGGACACAGCAGCAGCTGGTCATTTTTGAATGTGCTCTCTTACTGTCCTCTAGATCTGCCCCATATGTGCAGCGCTGCCAGGTGGAGACCCCAATCATGTGACGGATGACTTTGCTGCTCATCTCACACTTGAACATAGAGCACCCAGAGACTTGATATCCTTTTCAAATAGCCATGCATTCCCCTGATGCGCAGACTCAACCGGAACCGGACTGCTGTATCGACTAGCCAAAGATTAGCGCACAAAGGAGGGGTCTGTTTACTGGAGCTGCTGTTTGTTGACATTGCAGTGATAACGTCGGCGCCTCCTCAAAGCTTTATAGATCCCCCGTGGTGGGTAAACATATTAATCAGATATCCAAATGTGCAGAAACTATTTAGCGTCCTCGCTTAAACTAAATTGCCTGTACGTGTGTGTTTGCATGCTTCCTTCAGGTTGCACGCTGTTTGCTACTGGTTCAATAGCAAAGGCGATGAGAGTCCGAGTGGAGGCCGACTGCTGTCGTCTTCATGTGTTCCTTCAAACCTGCTTGTGTGGCTCTGTTAGTTTTCTCTTCTTTCAGAGTCTCTCCAAAAGAGAGAACACTCCAAAGGCAGTAATATTTGGGGGCACGACTTGTAATGCAATCTTGTCTTCTGTTATTTCATTAATGTGGCGTCTTATTCTGACTTGCTGGGCTCTGCTGTAGTGTCGTCATTCAAGCTGTATTTCAGAAAAGCGTACGCATCCCCTTCGTTCCTTTTGCAATGAAAATGTCTGACTTTGCTTACACCACACAAGTAGTTCAGGAGAGAATTTGTACGCATCAATTCCATGACTGCTTCTAAATGGCAGCATCTGTCAGGAAGCAGCTGAAACGCTGCGTGTGACGCGTCTATTCATGGAGTCCTTTCAGTGAGTTCTGCTGAGGGAACCAAAGATGCAAACGTGTATTTCATTGAGTGTTGCATAGGCTGGTGGTGACACCAAGCTAATGGTCATTTTATGTATGTAGGCCCATTAACATAGAACTATAAACAATGACTTGTCATTAGTAGTTATTTTACATGCAAAATGCCAACTAATGCCTGATGCTTTTCAGATATTGTACACTTGGTTGTGATTGATGATCCACTTCTCTGGGAACGAACCATGAGGCATTTTTTTGTGCACATGATCAAAAGCTTGCCCTTATGTTGCTCTCCTTAACCACCAACCTCACGATGAGTCCAGCGGGGTGCGGCATGTGAGGAGGATGTTCCACCCTGGACGTGGCCTGGGGGGTCCACGAGCCCGCCGGTCCAACATGCACTTTACCAGCAGCACCACAGGGGGGCTCTCCACCAGCCAGAGCTCCTCACAGAGCTCCAACTACAGCAGAGAGGCCATGGACCCCATAGCAGGTCAGTCACCCCCCACCCCCCCCACACACATGTTACCACACTAGACCCATGCAGGCGTGTGTCTGCAGAACTTGATGCAAGAATTGTGTTTCCCAGCGCCCGACACGGGGCGCTCGTTCTCTGCTACGTCAGTAAGTCATCGCGTACGTAGCGTGTCACACAAAGAGACCCGTTCCCTGCAGTAGGCCGAGCCTGGAGAACACGGTAACGCGTAGGCTGAGTGGTTGCCGTGGTAATTCCTTGTTTATCCTGTTGCCTGTTTGAAGCCGGTTCACTGCTTGGCATTCGCCGTGTCGACTCCAGCTGTGTCATAATGAGTCCCTGTTCAGTCCGCCTCACTAATGACCCACCATACCTGCTGGTGCGCCGACCCGCCCGGTGGGATTCTATTCTAACATCTGAGGGTCTCATCTGGGCCAACATGTGGGTCTTTAGAGTTCTATTGCTCCAGCTCAATGATCAGAGGCTTCACAATGGGTCGGTCTCTGACAGGACACCTCGTAGTTTTTAGGATAAACTATTTCACCAATTTTGTATATTTACAGGACTTACTATGTCAAAGTGACTTCTGGTAAGCGTTCCAACATAACACCGTAAATGGAAGAACTCTCCTAGTCAAAACTAAAGAAAGAAGACCCCACAGATGCAATAAATAACAGTTAAAAAAATTAAAATGATCCAAAATGAGTGTGACTAGATGCAGGAAAATAGAACAAAAACTAACAAGTGACAAAATAGCCACGGTGGAGAGGATGGAGCGGCGTGAAGCGTTCACCCCGGTGGCGTAAACAAAGAAAAAATACATTCTGTAGCTCAATGAAAACTGGAAAAATAGTGGAAATGCTTATACACAACTGCGAGTGCGACCCCCGGTGGACCGATTGGTGATAGCAGCTATTTATAATATACTATATATATATATAGTAATTAGATATTATTCTGCAGGCCAAAGATAATTCCAGCCCTTCTTGTCTTGGGTTTGACATTTCCACCCTCCGGGGAGGAAGCTTTTATCTGTGTCATCCCAAAAAAAGGCAAGGACAGAATGTGATGCAGCTCATACAGGCCAATTTTGATCTCATCAATCACGAGACTGAACTTATTCCTGATCAAACCGGTTTTGTCTGGGGGCGTTAAACTCAAGATAATATTAGACGCTCTTTACACATCATAGAAAATATTGGGAAAACCAAATTGAACGCCATGTTAATCAGTTTAGATGCAGAAGGGGCTTTGACCGCGTCAGCTGGGAAGAGCTGTTTTTGGGCCAAGACGGATTCAGTCAATTAACACTATTAAAGCTCTGTACTCTGCCGCGACCGCAAGAATCAAGAATTAATGGACGTCTTGCTGATCGCATTAAATTGGAGAGCTCTACACGTCTGTGGATGCCCCCTTTGCACTCTACATTGTAACACATTATAAAATGAATTGAACTCATAAATGATAAGGAACTAAAACTAACATACTGATGATGTATTAATATAAATCAAAGACCCAGAAACCTGCCTCCTTAATCTTTAGACCTCCTTGACATATTCGGTTAAACATGCAAAACGTAACAAATGACCATTTTGATTACAATCCACCACTGTTGGAAACTAAATACCTAGAAATACGGTTAACTCGGCGATCTGTATGGGGGAAAAAAAGTGAAAGAAGATCTAAGTAACTGGTCAACACCCCTTAGAGTTTGAGTGTAATAATTGAAATAATTTTGTACTGTATTTGTTTGTGGTACACCAGTCAGTTGCAGCACTGACAGACAAATATCCTGATTTATTTGGAATGGAAAGCCTCGGATGCCTCTTCAATGCTCCCAGAAGCAGCAAAGCAAACAATTACCTGTAGATGGATACAAGCTGAACACCTTCTGTAGAACACTGGATAAATCTACGACATGGAAAGAGGACTTTCATTCTGAGAGTAAGAGGAGGTACATATACAACAGTCCCCCAGGTTTAGTTTTCTCATACTTTTTGGTATTGTCTGCAAAAGTTCTTCATTAGCGGATAGAGGAGAAAAAAAGTTAAACTACCATACTTGACCAAGATGTAATCCTGTGCATATAATCCTAGACCAAAGACAAGAAATGTTGTGACTGGTATAGAATTCAATTCAGTTGGATGAAATGTATAAAGTTTGACTTAATTTTATATGACTTAATATACGTAGTAGGGGTGTAACGATTCATTCACTGAATCGATTAATCGATTTATATTCCTGCGATCCAACTGAATCGATCTGTGCTCCGCCAATCGGCATTCCGGACGACATATATCGATTGAAATGGTACATAATCGATTTGTATCGATATTTGGAAACTGCCCATTGGATTTAAGTACAAAAACTGTATGGATGTGTGTTTGTTTGTTTGTTTTTTAGCACTTTAGACACGTTAAACGTTACTCGATTCAGTCTGCCTGTCTGTGACGTCATCAGGACGCAGCGGCAGCCGCGCGAAACTCAAACAACAACTAAACACAGCGTGGAGGAGACGACTGCGAGCGAGACATTTACAAACCAACTTATCGATCCAGCGTGTGGAAACATTTGGGCTTTTGCAAACACGCGGGTGTTCTAAATAAGTCAGTCGCTGTTTGTAGAATATGTAGAAGCCAAATAAAAAAACACGGAAACACGACGAATCTTCCCGGCCTTCTACTAAGGCGCCGTGGGATTGAACAACGGCGACAGTCAGGACCTCTAGCAGCGTCACCGCTGCAGCAGCAGCAGGTAACTCAGCTCTGCAGACACCTCAGGCCTCGCCAGCACCAAACTCAACATCACAGTAACAATTGCCAAGTTTAGCTGTAAAGACATGCGACCCTACAATGTGGTTGAAAATCCGGGGTTCTGTGAATTGATCCAAACATTGTGTAATTATTGTGTAATGTTTACATTGAAAATGGCACTTGATTCAAATAAAAGGTTAATACATTTGCCATTAATTGTTGTTTGCTTGTTTATAATATCCATAATTAATTTAAACTTGATTTCCTTACAAGAAACAACGGGGATCTCAGAAACTTTGCTTGCACTGTCCAGTAAAGTTACTGAATCGAATCGAATCGTTCTAAATTAACCCAGATTGTCCATGAATCGCGATTCGAATTGAATTGTTGTTAAAATGAATCGTTACACCCCTAATACGTAATGATCTCTGCCGGGTGCCATTTTTTCTTGTTTTTGTTGTTTTGTTTTTCTCTTGATAAATAATCCCCTAATAAAAATGCCTTCGTATTAAAAAAACCAAACTGAGGTGCAGGCTGCTACTCTTTTTACCAAAGGTGTTAATTCTGCAGCCATGGCTGCTTATTCTAGTCTTCTAACATCACGGCCCGGTCTTTTCTCCTTGTCCCCCCCCCCAGAGCTTCTGTCCCAACTGTCGGGGGTGCGGCGCTCGGCGGGCGGTCAGCTCAGCTCGGGCCCCTCGGCGTCTCAGCTCCAGCAGCTTCAGATGCAACTCCCGCTGGAGCGCCAGCAGGCCCAGGCGGCACGTCAGCAATTGGAGACGGCGCGAAACGCCACCCGGGGCGGCGGCCGAGCCAACGCCATGCTCAACACCAACTCCGGGGGCGCCAACCCCAACGCCGGCGCCAACCACAATACCAACCCCAGTCCTAACCCGGGTCCCCCGGAGTCCCACGCGCAGCAAACGCCACACAGCTCGCAGTTTCTACTCAGCAGGTGGGGGGCCTCTTTTCTGCATGTGCTCTAAATGTCTTTATCGGAAGGAGGCGCCTTGCCTCATCACTGTTCAATTCCCCCCCCCCCCGCAGGCTGAGCGAACCGCGGCTGTCGGAGGCGGAGCGGCAGGCGTGCGAGGCCCAGTGGGCCGACAGGAGCCTGTTTGTGACGGAGCTGCTGTTGTCCACGCTGCTGCCCGACGAGGACGCATCGGCCTCCTCGGAGGAGGACGAGGACGACTGTCACGGCCCGTTGCGGAACTTCGCCGACTTCGAGTCCATGGGCTGCGTTGAGGTCATGACCCTGGACGTGGCACTGGAGAACCTCAACCTCAAGGAGATGAGACCAGCGCCCAAGACGACAAAAACGACAACTAAAACGGCGCCGCCAAAGAAAGAGCCTCCCGCGCCGCCCCTTTGATGGCGTGGCCCCTCCCCCCCCTCAAACGGAGGCTGAACGCTCAGCCGGTCCAACTGCCAATGGATGACAAAAAAGACTGCAGTTCTTTTTGGCTTTGTTTTATTATTATTCTTTTTCTCGGTGGTTGTCATTTCAGCTCCGTTGTGCCCCACTCAGCCCCGAGTCGACTACGTTGTACAATGAATAAAAGAGAGACGAGAGAATGTGAAAGCCAGCGTGGTGAGTGCGTGAGAGATGGGGAGGAAAAAAATACTATAGGAAAATATATTACAGAGAAATCTTTATGAAAGTTGATAATCAAATCCACATAACACGTGTTTCCTCTCGCAAAGGAGCAACGCGGAGTTGGCCGTTTTCAAGAGATACACACACACACACACCGGGAGAGGAGGCTCCCGTCCGGTGAAAACGCTGCTGTGTGTTTATAGTTATTAAAGTGCTTGGGTGGTTTACCACAACTTAAGCATGAGCTTAAATCACCATGTGCCCATTAGGAAGTGCACAGTCACTGAGGGTCTTTCTCTTTCTGTCCCGACACCTGAGTCACTGTAAAGGAGTTGGCGTCCCACTGGCGTGTGTGCCCCCCCCCCCCCCCCCTCTCTCTCTCTCTCTCTCTCTCACAGAGACAGACAGACACACAGACAGGTTGGCCACGTTGGGCTGCCTCAACCCCCTCCAACCCCGCTTGTGTGACTTCACCTGTTTTGGGTCTTGCGACCCGGCTTCATATCGACTGCGGGCACTTTGGGGTTTTTGTTTCATATCCGGGGTCCATGTGTACACTACAGATGCTCAACATCACGCAGCTGAGCGGCGAGCGGAGACGTGGCGTCTCCTCCGAGGGACCTTTTTCTGGGCCTTTTCTTTTTTTTTTTTTTTACGCAGAAGAAACGCAACCTGGTCTTCACAGAGGTCCCCCCCCCCCCACCCCTCCTCTCTCTCTGTTTAAAGGAAGACCAGGCGCTACCTGCTCAGCTCATGAATGCACAGGTTACTCATCATGTGACTTGAAGGAGAGACTCCCGTGGTTGCTCTTTTCCTCTCTTCTCTCGATCACACAAAGATCTCTGTCTGCCTTCACTGCTCCCTGAAGAAATGCAATGTCTTTGGCTCCGCGAACGAGCCAAACCACAGAGTAAACCTTTCAGTCTGGAGGACAATAAAAATGTTTTGGATGGAAATTAACTAACCCAATCCCGCTCTCTGGTTTGTTTTCACGTTTTTTTTTTTTCTCAGTTGCTAACTTTTGGTGACCATGTACAGCATATTGTAAAAAATAAACACCTATCGTACAGGTCAAGTTTTATCTCGATCAGTCATGTATGCGCTCTTTCACACCAGATTAACATGCAAGAACAAGTGAATGTATGTGAGGTCCAGGACGAGCACGAAGGGCCCAACAGAAAAATGGAGATTATTCTCAATGTTTGTTTATTCCTCTTGTGTGTTTTCTAGCTTTGACCCAAAGATTCTTTCATTTTTATGAGTAACATCTTTCGTGAAGAATATAAACTACACCACCGATGTGCTGTGGGAGCGCTGGCTTCCTCTGATGGTAAACCAAAGATCATCAAGTCCAGCTTCTACATTGAGGGCAATAATGTACAAATATTTGCAGAGACCTACGCTGGAGGTTTGGGGAAGCTGAAGGAGGCATTTCGGGCCTCTTGGGCTCGGGGTCTAAATGAAATGATTGATGAATCTCGGGCCCAGAGTTCAGGGGCCTTCGAGCCCTAAACCCTGGGTAGGCCGCCGCAGAGTGGGACGCTTGAGGCAACGTTAAACACTTGAAGCTTTGAGGATATTTGCTTTGTGATCAAATAACGTTATTGACGCACTATTTAGATGTATTCAAATAGTAGTTTAACTGAACATTTTATCCCTCTTTTAATCTAAAAGCAAATGTGGGATTCACACATTTCTAAAGGCTAATGTATGTGTAATGCAAAAAAAAAAAATTCTGAATCCCTTCTGGATGAATTTGTAACTTAAATGAGCGTTTTAGCATCCTGCAGAGTGTCGCTGCGTGAGGACAGAACCCTCTGAAGAGGATGTGACTGTCACTCACAAACAGGACTCGATTGCCTTTGAAGGAGCCACAGTTTCTCACGGCTAAAGAGCCCCTCTGCTGTCAATTAAGACAAGCACAGGAACCACAAATGAATAAATGGGGCCAGACAAACGGGCTCTACCTCTCGTGCTCTACAGCATGAGCAACGCTCCTAAACTGTGGGGGCCCCGGGCCCACAGCGGGCGAAAGGTTTCCATCTCTCGTCGGTTAGTGACTCAACCAACATGACATGGAAGCCATTATCCCACTGGCGGAAATGGTGTCACGCACTTTATGCCGGCATCAAACTGGCATTTCTCAGGGTTACTGCAGAGACTTCTTAAATTAAAACCCAGCACGGGACAGCGACAGCGCTGGGAACTTCGTCTGTGCCAAGTCGCTGAATTATTATCAGCGCTCTGAAACCCTAAATAACATCAGCCTGAAAAGATCTGACCCGTCCATTCAGTCTTTAAAGAGGTCGGACGGTTGCTGTAGGGAACCCAATGCATGCAAAGCGTGTGTGTGTGTTTGGGAGGGAGAGAAGAGGACGGCAAAACCACAACATCAAGTGTTTAAGTGCACTATATATACACATATAATTATTTCCAAAATAAAACACACAACTCAGTGGGATTTAGGTATTCTTTGTAATTTTAATTCCATAAATTTAGTTTAAATGCAGACAGTATTTTGTACTCACTAAAATCTTAAATAAAACATTACAGTACAATATATGCAAATCAGAAGAGCTTTAAGATTTTGTAGAAGCAAGCTACACTTTCTTTAGCTTTTTTTTTAATATTCAGTTGTTTATTCATTTATTCTTTTTTTAACTGTTGAAGGACCGAAGAGTTAAGACAGCAGTAAACAGTAAAAAGACAACACGGAGCTTGTAAAGCCTGCAGGCCAGCCAAGGAGCACATTCTATCACAAACACTAGAGACAGCACGTCACTGTGGGTCTGAACTGAGGCCCCGCCCACTGATGCCCCGCCCATCTCCCGAGAGGTGGGTGCTGGTTCCCTTATGAACACCAGAGGGCGCTGTTACGTCGTAGGCGAAGGGGGGCGGGTGAAGCTACGCGATGTAGTTCCACCTTCACGAATAACTGCTTTTAATGCACAATTCAGACGGAAAGAGATGGCGCCTTCGCTTCCCCTGTGAGGAGGTCACGCGGCAGCGTAGCGTGGGGGCCAACGTGGGCGGGGCTCAAGCGGGGAGGGGAAAAGTGTTGGGGAGCGCCACCTATCGGCTGCGGCTGATTGTGCCGCACCACATTTTTCAAGTCTTTACCTGCACAACCATTGTATATGAATATTCCACTATGTTACAATCTTATTGATAATTGATGAGAAGATTTGACTCAAATTGGATCTGACTCATTTAGAGCCCCTGAAAACAGTTGTCTGAAGGTGTCATCAGCTTCTTACTGTGAACGATGGTACCCACCATTTTAATGCACAACTTTGCAGTCGGAAAAGTCTTCCCATGAGCGATGTATCTGTTTTGGCACCCCCGGGCTGGTTTGAAGTGGCCGTGGCTTTGTTGGCGAAAAAGGTGATGTCACGTTTTTTGTGCACCAATCAGAGCCATTTGAATAGTCGCACGAATCATCGGGTCAAACCAGAGTAACAACACCATTTATTCCTATGAAGAAACACGTGATGTCGGAAAACCAGGTTTCCGTGGGTTTTAACACCCAGATAGCTAATGCTACTAACGTTAGCTTTTCACGTAGCGTTGGTTACTCCCCTTCAAATTTTACAAGTGACATAAGACGTTGTCACCAGGAGAGCGTTTTCGCTTTTTCCTCCCCATCTTGAGCAGTGCACTCCTTTTGGCCTATCAAGACTGTTAATGCGTGGAAATACACACCAGAAAGAGAGAAAGACACGTGAGCTACAACGGCGGGGGGATGGGGGGCCAACACAGACCAGGTCAACCCACATCTGTGAGTCCAGACCTCATGGTGTGACCAGAGGAGCAGAACCCTGGACCTCCACCAGCCTGTGGAGTGCCTTTCATTAGCTGCAGGATGGAAGTGAAGAAAGCGCTCTACTAGTACTGCTCTTGAAAGCAACATATCCTGCACATTCCAATACTACTACTACTACTACATTTTACCATTATCTATATTATGGACTAATGTTGTTTTTCCGAGCATTTGACGAGATTGTTGCTGTGTGAATTAGGAGCACCCCCCATGTGCAACGCGGCCTGTGTGAAGAGTGAAAAAGGTATGAGCTTCAGTGGTTTCCTAAACAAGAAAAGAAATGTCCTCGTAGTCCAGTTGTTGAAGATTTAAGAGTCTCGACCTGAGACTTAAAGCCAAACAGCGATAGGGAAACACAATTACAAAGGGTTTTTTCTACCTTCCTAAAATAAAAATGGGGATTTCAAAATCCGATCTATTGTGTGAGACAAACGCAGTGGCCCTAGCGAGGCGGAGGGCCTTCCTGGTCTCTCAGGGTCCCCGAGGGTCAACCAGCAACCCCCCCCCCCCCCGTACAGTTCTGGAAGGTAAAACTCACGTCATGGTAGAAAAATATATCGTCCTGATGAGATCTCTCTAGTCATTTTTCATTTGTAGTGTAAACGCATCGTAGTAGCAGCGCAAAGTGACTCATGATTAGTACTACTACTACTACAAAACACGTCCTCCCACTACTATGTTTTTACTCGCACTTAGAAAAAAAATTATTGTTAAAAGTTCCGTCTTTCATTGGCATCATTAGGCAACGTTTTTTATTTATTCCAGATACTCTACAATATGGTTACGATGTAAACACCACCCCCATTGATTATTTGACCGTATCTGCACAAAGTAAAACACAATGTTACAAGGCAAGTGGCTACTTAAACATAGATTTGTTCATGAGAAAGACAAAAACAAACAAAATTGAAATTATGAAACACACAAGAAAAAAAAAATCAAGAGAAAAGAGACCTTGCAACACCTGGCATAAAGTTATTTTTCAAGAAAAAAATAGATTTTGTTCTTCTACAGGTCAGGTGACCTTGTTAAAAAGCTGGTGATGATCAGTACTACCCCCCCCCCCCCCCCCCCTGTGATATATCGGCCACCTTTAGCACTTGGATTGGACTCTTCTACTCGTCACAAACAACAAGCGGCCCATTTTGAGGAGCTACGCGTACGGGCCGGGAGTTTGGACCCCTTTGAATTCCTTTTCTACATTACCTGGGCGGGGTATCACTTTTTTGGATAATATCCGTGGTAAAAAGGTTTGGAGGGGGCCGTCCCCCCCAAAGGGGGGGGGGGGGGGGGGGGGGGGTAGGGGGCACAGACGCTTCATTGACCCTGGACCCGACTGGGAGCTTCTTGTATCAGGAACACGACTTCTTAAACGAGATATGAAAGCAAAAGGCAAACCGATGACAGATATGTGAACACAGGACCTTGTCGCTGCGCTTCTGTGTCTGTCGTCACCTGAGACGCAGCGTAACGTTCACTTAGCCGAACTGCACCAGGACTGTTGACTTCACTGATCACAGGGAAAGCACTATGTTCCCTGTTGAGAACGGGTCCTTTGATATACACTTAAATACCTTTTTAATTTGATTAAGTCACTTCTGCAAATTGCTTTGAAACTGGCAGCCTGTGTGTGTGTGTGTGTGTGTGTGTTTTTCTGGCATAAAACTCACTGTTTTTTAATGACATCATGAAGAGCCCCTTCCTTCCTTCCTTCCTTCCTTCGTTAAAAACAAACTCCCTCTCCAAATACTCTTCAGGACAGTATTTACAGTACAAATTACAGTATATTACATTATTTAAAAATATGAGATCCGTCTCTAAAAACATAGAGGAGCTCTGGACAAAGAAACTCAACTCTTTTAGCAAATCAGGTTCCTGTGGTACGGTGAACAAAAGGAAATGAACAGATAGCAGAGTGACAGTCGCACCGCCCTCCCGTTTGGCCCCGGCTGTACCTGTGACATGATGGCTGGGTCGCTTTACCACACAACCTTTTCTTCTTCTTCTATTTAGATTTTTTTTTACTTTAAAGCAAGCCGCAAAACAGCAAGTCACACTCAATCCAATACAACAATATGTACAGGGTTTTTTTTCTGGCATTTTGGAACATTAATGAGCAGTGGAGCGGCGATGCTACTCGGGTTTGCTGTTAGAACGATTACAGGTTTTACTGCACTTAGTTTTTTTTAAACTCAAGGTTTAGTTTTTGTTTGTTTTTGTTTTTTTTTATGCTGAGATGAAACAGGGTTACTGAAGCTCTCCCCACAGTTGGCACATCCCAATGAATGGTGGGCAGAAGCACATTGACGGCACGCGTTGTGGTGCGCCGCAAGAAGAGAATGAACATCAAGCGCTCAGAAACAAAAGAGACGTCTGGACGACGGAGCCGGCAGCAAAGAACCAGCCCCCCCCCCCCCCCCCCTCCCTCCCCCCCTCCCGAGTACCCAGAGTCCCTCCCCCTCCCCCAGGCCGAGCGTCCCTCAGACGTAGGGCAGGATGCCGTAGACGAACAGGGCCATGACGGCGGCGCTGAACAGGCCGGCCACGGGCACCGTGACGAACCACGCCAGGAAGATGTTCCTGAAGAGGTGCCAGTCCACCGCTTTCTTGGAGCGGATCCAACCCACGGCCACGACCGAGCCCACCTAGAGGTGCCGGGGGGGAGAAGACAATCAGCAGCAGCACCAAGCAGAGCGCTTTCAAGAAGGCAAAGTCACTGAAGAGCTGCAGGCCGCTCGGGTTTTTCTCATGCTCATCGTTTCAGATGTCCGCCTGGTTTCTTATTTTATTTCTATTATTTTTTAGCGGCATTCTGCCTGACTTTTATATGTTTAGGCTCTTTTCGTGCATCTAGCTCTCCACTATGTCTGTGGCTTTTGGCTCTGCCATTTAATACTAAAGGGGACAGTTCACCCCAAAATGAAACCAACATGTTTCCTCTTACCTGTCGATCTACATAGTTTCAGCGGGAGCTGTCTAGTTCTAGACTGGGACCAGAACCGCCAAAAGCAAAGTGAGGAGCGTGTGATCGGCGTTCAGCTCTTTGTGACCAGCCCGGATCCAAAATGTCTACGTTAGTCAGAGCAAGCCGATCGTGGACGTTACCCCGAGTGAAATGCTCATGCGTGGACGCGTGAAATCAGCAGGCCTGTTGCTTGAATCATCGCCGCTCGTGTCAGGCGTCCACACATAAACTCCTCCCCCCTTCATTCAAGTCAGTGGACACGTGGGCACGTTTCGGGGCTTTAGGGGTGGAAGCACGTGCGGTGACTGCTCTTCTACGGCCAGAGAAACGCCAGATGGAGACTAAATGTGGCAGGTCGACAGGTGTGGTCCAGAGGTCAGGGTCACTTGGGCCGGACTTGACCACACCGAAAATACCTCGCCTCATTCTGGAAGTAGCCTATCAGAAGGCCCGTGCGATTTGACACCTGAACACCTTTATTGGCGAGCTGTCGTATTTTTCGGGCGAGCGGGCTGCCGAGCGCCTTCTTCTGAAACGACGCGTCGCCGCACGTGCTCCCACTGAGCCCGGGCGCCCGCTGAGTCTCATCTGCTCATCAGCAAAGGGCCAAATGAAGCGAATGAGGACGCTCACTCCGCACCGACGCGTGAAACTAAACGGACGCCCGTCATGCGCGCGTTCACTCTCACGTTCTCCCTGGGAGATGTTCACAGGCGTTGTTGGATACTTGTTTTTAGTTTGAAGTTCCTCACAGTAACATAAGCTGATTTCCTCCAACAACGTCTGGGCACCTCCCCCGACCCCCCCAGCACAACAGCGTACACTTCTAGCCATCAGTAGATTTAGCATTTTGACATGGCAGTTGATTATCGAAGGTTTTAGGTGGGGGGAGGGAGGGGGGGGGGGGTGGTAATAAGGTATGGATAATGATGTTGACGTTTAGACAAATTGATCATCATTAATTTAATACCAGCTTTGAATCTTGTGCAGTTTCCCATCAGCAGTGAAATATTATATACCTGAACTATGAGGTGACGCTTTCATATTTTCATACATGCAGATTATTGTCTTGCATGACTGATAATAAACTGCATGCGTACTAAAATTCCCTCTGGCCCGTCGCAGCTACAACCATTGGGACTACTGGCCGAATCAACTATCCTCTTATCTACTCTAGAGCCAGTTAGCTTAGCATAAAGACTGGAAACAAAAGGAAGCCGCGAGATCCTTACTTTTTCTTACATACTAGTTATACCATTTCTTTGTTGCGAGCAGTAACTTCCTTGACAATCCACCGGTTGCCTGGCAACTGCTCAAAGCCAATAAAGAAGCCGGCACAGGCGGCGTGTTCAATGCCAAGGACATGTCTGAAAATGTGATCCGTCTGATATAACTGAAGAAAGAGAATGTGAATAAGTAGTGGATGATACATTGTCAATGCTTTCAAAACGCACAGTTTAACAGCTAAACTATATGTATTTATACACATATTTATACTTTATACATAAGCTTGAAGTTCATTACATCCTTCATGTAAACTTTAGGAGTCGGGGGGGAAACTGCAGGAAAAGTCAAAACCGCAACTTGAGGAGTTGAGTGATTGGCGGTAAGCTACGGGTGAAGCGCTGAAGCGGCTTCACTGCCGATGACACCTGTACCTTGCAGTGGGTGGAGCTTATTGGGACGCCCACATTTGACGCAACAAGCACTGTTAACGCACTCATTACTTCAATGCAAAATCCGCTGTGAAGACAGATGAGTGGAGGGACACAGAGAGGGGCGGAGGGGAAAGGGAGGGAGGTAAACACAAGGCTGCAGAACAAGGACGGCTTGAGGGGAGGGGAGGGGGGGGGGGGGGGGAACTCCTGCAGCCGAGCACAGGAGGCGAGGACCCACACACCAAACCATGCAAGTGTTGAGAGGTCAATAAAAACACAGAAGAGAGCTCGTGGAAATGAAACCAACACCATAGGGGGGAAAGGGGGGGTTGTCGGGACGAGGGGGGGGGGGGTCCACCACGTCGTCCGGGTTTCCTCCGAGGTTTCCTGGAAATAAACGGCGGGGAGGGGCTGCACACTGCTGCGGGGGCGGCTCCCATCGTTTGTGTTCCGAACGCAGAGAAGAGAACCGGAACTTTGCCGTCTCTGATTAAACGTGGCATCCTAATTGGGGCCCCGGGGAGCCAGCAGAAGGAGACCCGGTGCCCCCGGGAGGCAGTGTGAGCCCCCGTCCGCCGGAGAAGGGACTGTGTGCGGGTGAGGGTGGGGGGTCGAGAGGCTGGTTGGAGGGGCTCGCTGGCTCATACCTTGCAGTGCGTGGTACTGACAGGGATTCCGATATTGGAAGCAAACACCACTGTGAGTGCAGAGGCCAGTTCAATAGTGAATCCACTGTGGAGTGAGGGAGGGGGGACGGGGTGGGGGGACAAAGAGACATCCTTCATTGTTAGGACGAGGGTTTGCTCCTGAGGGAACCGCCCGCATTTACAGTAACACAGTTAGAGAACGGTTCATCGAAAGCAGGATCAACACACACACACACACACACACACACACAGTAAAGCCAGCGTCTCTATCCGGTGCAGACTGTTGGAAGGGGAACTCATACACAGCCTGGTCGCATGTGGCTCCACAGACAGAACCTGTGGGCGTGCGCTTCTGCCTGAAGACGTGTCCTCTGTCCAGAGCATTATTCACATGTTGACACCAGACCGGTGGGCGGACTGAAAGAGAAAGGCATTTTAAAAATGTCCTCCCCCTGCAATCTCAGCTATCAGAGAAAAAAGCATTCAGGCCGTCTTTTGGGGTCGACGGAAAACTACGGATTACAAAAAGTAAAATAAGGGAAAGGCAGGAGAGAAAAAAGGGAAAGAAACCAGCTGAGTCTTTGGTCGTGAACAGAAAAAGCGGACGTTTTCTAATGATTTGACCTGAATCTTAAACACCACAGGGACCCATCGGTAACCAGACGATTAGGGCCGGTGTGTGATGTCCCCATGGAAACGCAGCCCCTTTGAACCGTCATGTCTCCCTCTGTAATGCGTTACTGTCAGCCCTTCCTAGCTAAGCTAACAGAAAATGCAGAATGAAAAAGTCGGGGAGGTGAATGGAATCCAGTCCTCCCTTGTAAGAAGACATTAAAGGATGTCTCCAGAGGAACAATGATTCCTGGAGAAACAGTATTTCTAAGACAATCATCGCTCACTCCACCTACAAACATTCCTGGAGCGGTTCTGCGTGTGACTCACAAAATGAGGTCATCAAAAAGGGCCGAGACGATGCGCATTTCACGTCCCTGGTCAGCTTCCGACCGCAGACACTTATTTAGCCGCCCTGTCCCGCCCCAGAGAGCCCCTCCGTCAGATTGATCCTTGGAAACAGACACTGGAGGAAGAGAGGGCCTTTGGAACGGCAGACCAGAGCAAATCTGTCTTAAAAGTCCTGGCAAAACACCCAGCTGGTGACGGAAAGAGGGCGATTAGGAAAGAGAGAGAAGAGGTGCACAGTGAGAGAGGGGCCAAGGACGAGGAGACAGCCGGAGAAAGAGGGAGAAATAACGAGAATGGGAACTCCAGGGAGGATTTAGAAGTGGCACGGCAAGAAAAACAAGACATGGAGGTGCAGCGAGGAGACGCAACTGGGATTGAGCAAGAAAGGGAGGGAGAAGAGAAAAGAAGAAGGTTAACCGCAAAACATGAGAGATTTACAGTCATGTAGGAAGGAATTGGGGGGAAAAGGGAAAGGAGGAGGACAGAGGGGGAGACTGAGTCAGAGTGGCGTCCTTCCCCTGTGGGCGGAGAAGAGAGGCTTCCCAAGGTGGCTTCGCCCCCCCCCCTCTCCCTTCCTGCTTCTCCCCATCTAGAATGCCAAGCAACTTCCTGTTACCCTGTGCGATGTATCCGTACACACACACACACACACACACACACACACAAGCACTCGCACACATGCACTCTTCAGACAGGGCATGGGGGGGACGAGGGGACGGAGGCGCCGCAGTGAGGTTTAGGTTGTGGGAGGTGGGCCCTCTGTAAATAAAGGTTGCGCTCTGGAAGACTTCAGAATGGGTATGTAGTAAGGTCAAAGGTCAAAATAAGACAGACAGAGTATCAACTTCTTGCTAAAGGCTATGAGAGGGACATGTATTACTAAGCAGTTCTAGCTAGATGGTTAGAGTACGACTAAAAATGCTGATTATGTTGTTCGGTAATCATGAACTAGTTACATTTTATACGTCTCTGGGGAAAGTAATGTAATCCCAAAGAAACACAAACACAAAGAGAGAGGCCTTTTTAGGACGACCGTGTGCAGTAAAAGGGTGTTACGCCTCTCGGTCGGCGCACATAACGAGGTTACTGCAGCTTAATGTCATCTCGCTGCCTCGGGTTCGTGCATTCTGCCGCCGGCGTCGGGTCAAATGTTCAGAAAAGACATTGAATGTGTGTTTTCATGGAAATACTTACCGAGGTCCCACCTGATGTCGAGGCTCATCGCCGGCGTTGTCGCTCTCTTATCCACTTTGTTCTTTTCTCACTCTTACAACTGTCCACAAACACAGACACCCACCAAACCGGCCGCTCTCCCACGTGGTGGCGTTCTCACCTTGAGGGGGTGATGGGAGTCAGGTCCTTCCCCATGGTCTGGATGACGCGGCGGCCCCACACCCACAGGCCGGCGCAGATGCCGATGCCGCCGTAAAACAGCAGCCAGATGGGGGTGGCGGCGTCTTGCATCACGCCGCCCTGGTCGTAGATCATCCACAGTGCCACCAGGGGCCCCGATGGCGTTACTGCGGAGGCGGGGAAATGGGGGATGACTTTCAAACCCCTCTGATACCAATGCTAGACTGGCACAACAACGCTACTTGTACGCATAAAGGCTCATGAGATGTGTGATCAGGTAGCAGCGGGAGAGGACGAGGGGGGTCGGGTGGGGGTAGGGGGGGGCAGCATCTGACATCGTTGCCTCCGTGGGCGAAGGAGCCGAAGCAGGCCGTGAGGATCTGCAGGAAGTGGAAGAGCAGGAAGACCTCAGGCTTGTCCTTCTCCTCGTGGTCCTCCTCGGCCAAGTCGTCCAGAGTCACGGGAGTCGCGCCCCCGTCCTCGTCCCCCCCTTCCAGCTCTGTGGCCAGCTTCATCTCCACCCCGCCCTCCTCCGCCTCGATCTCCGCCTCCGCCACTGCGTTGCAGTACGACGAGTAGCTGTCGTAGCGCACCCTCTTCTTGGAGTAGGACACGCTGTTGCTCCTGACGCCGCCGCCGCCGCCCTCCCCCACCAGCTTCTCGCTGTCGTCGCGGGACTCCGCGCGGACGAGCGGCTGCACCGGCATGCCGCAGATGGCGGCCGTGTAGCAGGTGTAGCTGTTGTTGCGGCGCAGCAGGCGGTAGTTGTTGTCCGGCTGGCCGGAGGTGGAGCCCGTGCGGTCGCCGTCGTCCATGCGGCCCAGGTGGATCTTGTGGAGCAGGTCCTTGTACAGGCCCGAGTCCTTGTGCACGGTGTGGTACACCTGGCCGTCGCTGCGCACGTGGCCGTCGAAGCTGAAGTTGCCATTGGCGACCGGAGACTTGAGGCAGCCGTTGGTCATCGAGTGGGTTCGGGCTGTGAGAGGAGGAGACGTTTGTGAGGGTGCGGACTTTTGAAGGTTTGCTCAAAAAGGGATGCAAGTTAAACAGAGAGCGCCCGCAACGGCTACCGGCCCCCCTCCCGTCAGCCGGTCCGTTCGCCCCCACAAGGTTGGAAAGCTAGGGGCGGCACTGCAGTGGTCTTGACCTTCCTAAATGTCCCATTAAAGGCGCACCAGAGCCAGAGTTCCTCTTTTTATCCGTTGAAGAGAAGCAGTAATCTGCTGCCTCGTCTAGAAACAACGGGCTTCTCACTGAGGATGGTAACAGTGTGAGTCTTTTACCGTACACCCTGCCATTGGGCAGGACGTGGCCTCCGTTAGTCTGGCCGGCGGGGTCCCCGCCGCCCTCGCGGGCCGCTCCGTTCACTGCCGCCCCCCGTGAGCGGCAGCACGGCCTCGTCGGTGCCCTTGGCCCCCGGCAGCTCCTTGAAGACGGGGCTCTCCTCCTCCTCTTCCGGGATCTTGTCCAGGCTCTCGTCGGAGATCCTGGAGAGGGCCTGCTCCTTCTTTATGCGACCTGGAGGACGACAAGCGGACGCAGGGGTCAGTTCAGAGGGCAACAACTCATTTACACGGAACAACGCCATGCTGGTGGAAAAGGATTGGATTATTTTCCATTAGGGCAAAGTATTGTTTCAATATACCTTTTTCCGCACACGTTTTTGTTGAAACTGTATTGCACTGATTCCCTTAATATTCTTTACAAAAGAAAACTTACCGTAGCATTCCACAAACACAAATATAGCCATCAGCTGATCCAAACTAATCCCAGTGTGGACCGACCTAATGCCCCCCGCCCTCTCCTACCTCAGAACACACGTGTGTGAAAACAGATTAGGACCTGAATCCTAACAGGCATTCAGAGGTCACACACGGTACGGCTGACCTGACCTGGCGCTGTGTGTGTCGCGTGCCGGAGGAAAAGTTCCAGAAAACAGTGCGTTCAAGCTTAAGCCTCGACGTCAGTGTCAGCGCTCCGATAAAGGCTGCCTGGCCGAGGTCCCTCAGCTGCTCCGCGGTTTTACTTCATGTGTCATGTGGTGGAAAAGCGGGCGGATGTTCCGCGTGAAAGGAATGATTCCTAACTTCCGTCTGAGAGCTTTCTCCAGCGCGGCCTGTGATCTTAACCACTTAGCATGTGGCCCAGTATCTGTGTCTCAAGGGGAAGGCGAGCAGAGCACCAGGCGGAGTTCAGGGGGTTCCTCTGGTGGCTTCTGGCAGAGGCCATCGAGCAAACACATCCGCTGGCATCCCGGAGGCTGGGGCTTTGTTCTCAGGCCCGGGGTCAGAGTGCCGGGCTTTCAGGCGGCGTGAGAAAGACTGGACACACACACACACACACTGATATACACACACAGATACCTACTTGCTATTTTCCTCCTCATCCAGGGACACACCAAAAACCAGACCAGAGCTGCAATGATCAGCGACTCCACTAACGTGATGAGGAAGATGGCCCACACCGGTAGCATCTCCAACCCGAGCACTGCAACGAATGAGAACACACACACACACACACACACACACACACAGGTAATTAGAAAAAGAACCTGTTTTAAAATCACACCCTGGTCACACCGTCTAATCTGCAGCGAGGGAGTGACCGCTACGACGGAGGGGATCATTGGATGAGCGGGACACCTACGCGGGGCTCCAGTGTACATGATGGAGAAGGTGTTGATCCCGATGGTGGAGGCGTAGAAGACGGGCAGCGCTCGCAGGCCGTTGGGGACGGAGTCATCCTGGAAGGACAAAAACAGTTTCTCTCAATCTTTATGGATGAAAGAAAAACAATAATTGAACATGTTCTTTCTTCAATGCACATGCTGTGTTGTCCCCTACATACAAAGAGTGCATCAATAGAGATGTGGAAACAGTGACGTGATTCACTGTTGTTACTAATACTGTGATACACGATATGACGGCGTACCGAGGTTGGAAGTCTCTAAACCAGCATCTGAAAACGTAAGAAATGGTGTAGAGATAATAGAACCACGACACAGTGATGTGAATAGCGTGCAGAGAGATGACTTTGAGCCAGCCGCATATATACAGAAATATGACTCATTCATACGTGATCCTGCAGCCATGAACACTTTTCTCTTCCTGGTCGGCCACAGACTGCCCAGTAACCACAGATCTGTGACTGTGGATGTTTTTCAGTTCTCTGGACAGGTTTGTGTGTGCACACGTGGATGCTTCCATCTAGATTCTATTTACACCCGAGGACCGAGGACTCCCCCCTTCCACGTCATGCGGCCCAGTCAGTGTGTACTTCAGTACAGCAGAAATGCAATACATGTGTCATAACGTGTATCTAATGTATGTGCAGCACTTTAGGCAACTTTTGTGGCATTTCAAAATGGGCTATACGAATACATTTTGATTGATTGATTAATAACGTGAGCCCACCTTGCTGAGGATGAAGTGTCTGATGAGCAGGAACAGGAGTCCAGACATGAATCCAGAGAGCAGAGGGGAGATGAACCACGAGGACACTAGGGAGAGAAGAACAAGCGGCTATTGGTACGGTGCTGATCCAGAATCACCCCGCTCTCTGTGTAAAAGGGCTCTAGGGAGTCGTCCTCGCTGAAAACCAGCCGGTGATTCCTGTCAACGCGCCGCAGAGCTACGGACAGAACTAGTATGTGTGTGTACAGCCGGGACAAACAGTCAACCAATCTATTACCGATCTTGACGAGCTCCATCCAGTGCACGCCCTTGGTGCCGATGGCCACCATGGAGAAGCCGATAGTGGCGCCGACGATGCAGTGAGTCCCCGAGATGGGCAGCTTGAGGAAGGAGGCGATCAGCTGCCAGACAGCCGACCCTGTGGTCCAAGCAGACACACACACCTCAGAGACACTTTAATACCCAATCATTGATGAGATACAGCTCTGGAAAAATGAAATAAGGCGCATTGCGTAACTTTGCTCAGGAATGTAGAGTATTTTTTATTTTATTTTGCTACACAGGATTGAAGACTTAAAGTAAGTACTGGGTTATGACTGCACATGACATCCTAAGTGCTGTTATGCTAAATGGTTGCTTTTGGTTTGGACTGTTTGGCTGAAGGGAACCAACACACACATTATCTCCGCCCTCGCGTGTTTACTGTAAACATCGTCGTAAAAAGAGCTGGGATCTGAATTTGCTAAATGAGTTGCGGTAATCGCAGAGCTCTCGACACACGGGATTATGCACGCAGGGATCGTTTGAGGGGCCGTGAAAGCCTCATAGTGGCAAAAGAACAATGAACATTCATCGAGACCATTACGAGTCCATTATTTGATTAATGGGACCTTAGAGTCTCATTGTGGGGCTTTGACGTTGTTGTTTTCTAAAAGCCCCCCACCCCGATATAACGGGGTGGGAAACACTGAGATCCGCTTCCCCAACAATGACCCAGCGGCAGCGTGTCACACCCGTGTTTTGTCTCGGTGGGAGACCCCTTCGTTTTCTACCCTGCGTCATTCTTCTGCCGAAGCAATCTGACGTCCACGTGCAGAGCCAGCGCGCTGAGCTGTGAATGTCCTCTAACGCGAGCACAGCGGCTGCCAACCGAAACGAAACTTCAATCGACAGGTTTGTCTGGAAATAGATTATTAAGCAGAGCAGATGTTCTTCAAATGAACCTTTTCCGACAAGATTAAAAACAAACCAGCTACAGTTCTGTAATTCAGTGGTTTAGTGAATTGAGCAAATTTTATAAGTGCATTAAATTAAAACACCCCGCCTGCTCCACAGCATATGAAAGGCAGAAATATATACATCTAAATATTATTATTATTTTAGCCAAGCTAAAATTGGGGTTTCCTGCTGATAATTTCTGTATCCTTGGGTTTGAAACGGATGTAACAAGCGGTCAGAAGAGGTCTGATGAAAACTGTTGCTCCACTCCGCAAACGGCGGATCAAACTCGACTCCGACTCACCGACCATGGCGCTGACCTCCCCCGCCATGAGCACGGGCACCGTCTCGTTGTACAGGTTGACGTCTATGATGCCCTTCCGGATGGTCTCCCCGACCTTGGCCCCCAGCAGCATGGAGCCCAGCGTCTCGAAGATGGACGCCAAGATGCACGCCTGCTTCAGCGTGACCACGCCGGAGCCCACCGCCGTGCCGAAAGAGTTGGCCACGTCGTTGGCGCCCACCGAGAAGGCCAGCACGAAGGCGATGATGAAGCCCAGGATGACCATCCACAGATACGGCTGCAGATCCATCGTGATGCGATTTAAAAGAACCAAATCCGAGCAGAGAGAGAAACAAAAACTGCTGAAATAATCAGAAAAAATCAGCTCTCGGCGCTGTTAGCCGACTCAAGCCAAGCCCGCTCCTCTTTTCTTCGTCCCCTGGTTGTAAGGAGTTCGAGGGGAGAAGCACAGCGGCTAACTCAGCGTTTGGAGCTCAGTCCTGAGGTTGGAGACGGGTGACGGCGGCTGCGGGGAGCATTCCATCGCTCAGTGTGAGACAGCCTGTCCGCGAGATCCTTCACCTGCCGGGGAGGAAGACACACAGAGACGGATTAGTGTCATGCGCCATGACGGCTCTTTATCAACGGTGGCCTCCATCTGACAACACCCCCCTTCACACAACCTGCAACAAAGGAGGGGAGGGGCCGAGAGAGGGGAGAGAGAGAGAGAGAGAGGGAGGGAAAACAGGAATGAAGATGACGATGCAGAACTGGTTTGATAAAACAGAGTAGAGCAGAAGAGGAGGGGTCTGGGGAGGAGGGGGAGGTCTCATCTCAGACAGCGACTCCGGCAGCAGAGCGAGACGTTAAGCGCTTTATCCCACAAACAGGAGTGAGACGTCTCGGCTAAAACCTGCTTCTATTTCACATGTTTTTTTCGGGGTGAGTTCGGGAGTCTGACAGTGATACCAACAGCTGATTATTACCAATTAGATGAAATGTTTTAGATACATACCTGATGGTGCCTGATCTAACTACAAAATAAATGTGGAACTGCTTTCAAGGCCGTCTAAAATTTGTCTTTTCTCTTTTTTTGGGGAAGTTCAAACAAGCAGGAAAGCTTTGCTGCAGCAACACATAAATCCGTGCATGGACTTGAGACTGCAATGCAGTGAGAACATCAGCAGTGATGTTTGACTGCTGCTGTTCGGGAGGGAAACAGATGATTGAGAAAGTGTGTCTATGTCTTCAGGCCCAAATTACCACTAAATGTAACCTACAAAATGAAAGAAGGATTCCAGATGTTATTTTCTGTAAATTACAGCTATTCAGTCTACATGTAATCAAACAATGAGTGGGATTCTCCTGTGAGAAAGATCGCGGCCCTCCTAGAACGAGCGGCGAGTTCCTCCAATAGAAATTGGGATCAGCAGCAGCCTCCCACGTCCCGGTAAAGTTCCACGCGGCATTGATGGCGGCGATGATGAGGCCACCAACACTGAAGCCTCTGGTGGTCCCTGACAAACCGCCACCACCACAAATGACTCACCCCGGCTTCTCTCTCCACTTTTGTCCCGGCCGCATAATCAAAGTTGTTCACAGGGGTTGATGGCAGCACGTTTCCATTTTTGGTTATGCCAATTGTTAATGGGGCAGCGTTAAACGTAAACAGCTTGCAGCGCATTCCTGTCGGCACCAACCGAGTGCTCGCTCATCATCGCGTGGGGACGGGAGGCTCCATCTAGAGCAGTGGAGGTCACGCACTGCCATGTTTTATCCGCGTTGAACCACAGCACAGATATCATTCGTTGCACGGTAAGCTTAGTACACGAGATGAGGAGGAGTAAAAAAATGAGATACTTTACTGATCCTCGAAGGAAAAGAGTCTTTTCACTGGTCACTGCTTCCTTCCAGACGGGGATCAAAACTGGATCAGAGATCAGGGCTTGGTCTTCAGACTGAAGGTTAATAAAATATTCAATATGCTGTCATTGGCACTTACAAGTAGGGTGTTTTTTCAGAAACACCACAATACAATACCATAGCATAAGATACTTTATGATATCTTACTTCCTACAATAAGATACTGTGTTTAAGCAACAAGGTACGAGAGGCTGTACTTTATCGTCCAATAATGTAACAGTTCGGGGGTGTTGTTTGGCCCGACGCGCAGCAATTAGGCGTAAATAGCTGCCCTCTAGTACAAAATAGTTATGTGTCTCATTTCCGTAGTCTAGAGAAAAAATAGTCCCTGTACGTGCATGTAAACAGCATCGGGTCCCGCGTCATCTCATTCATTCACATCATGATGTCCACCATAATCCGGTAATTAAAAGCTTGCATTGCCCCAAACCGATCATTTGTGCGATTTCTGTTTTTTTTCCTGATCGCCACCGAGCTAAAAGCTAAAATGTCAACTAATGGTGGCGCAAGATACTATAGCTACCCAGTAATACTGAAACCAGTCAAATAGAATAGTAAAATACAGTAAGATAAATGTAGTACAATAGAAAAAGTAAACTACAACAATAGTAAAACTATTAAGTGCATGAGATGTAACACCAGTGTCTACAGAATAGGAACTGATACATATAGGGCCGGTTTCGGAGACAAGGCTCAAGCCTAGTCCCAGACTAAAATGCTGTTTGAGCTGGCTTAACTGAAATTCACTTGCACAGACGTAGCTTAAAATACTCGTGGATTAAGCCTGTTCTGGATTAAACAAAGCCGATTGCAAAATTGAGCATTAGAGCTACTCCAGGACTAAATTGGACTGAATTGAAGCTTAAACTAATCTGCCAAGGAGGCAGGTTTAACTCCCGCTTAGTAGGCTAGGCTACTGTTTGTGAAACTGAGCTTGGATTGTTTGGGAGCATGGACTATTTGGAATATCTAAATGAGGACCAACATGCACGACAAAGGCCAGCCAGACGAATACTGCTGGATAGGAGTGATCCATTGAATCAGTTTGATGAAATAACTTTTCGAGACCGCTTTCGTATGCACAAGGAAAATGCATTGGAGATAATTACTTTGCTTGAGCCTAGACTTTCCTCTCTGTCTCAAAGAGGAAGGCCTGTGTCCAATCAACTGCAAGTTCTGATCACTTTGAGGTTCTTGGCATGTGGAATCTTTCATCGTGAAACTGGTGATTTGTGTGGTGTCAGTGAACCAACTGTATGTAGAATAGTTCACAAAGTCTGCAGTGCCATTTGTGAACTGAGGAGTCTTTACATCAAGTTCCCTGATGCTGCTGGGCAAGCCAACTATAAAGTGCAATTCTATGAATATGGGCACTTTCCAGGAGTGATTGGCTGTATAGACGGATGTCATGTTCCCATCAAGTGTCCATCAACTCCTGATGCAGAGGAATACAGGAATCGTAAGAACTGTTTTTCAATCAATGTTCAGGGTGTATGCACTCCTAATTTGGAGTTTTCAAACATTGTTGCCCGTTGGAAAGGTGCAACCCATGATTCAAGGATTTTTCTCAACTCTTCATTGTGTGCACAATTTGAGAGTGGACAACATAGTGGACTACTACTTGGTGATAGTGGATATGGTCAGAGTAACTATTTATTCACACCACATCTAAATCCCACAACAGCTGAGCAGCAAAGGTACAACAGAGCTCATATCCGTACTAGAGGGATGATCGAGCGTATGTTTGGAGTATGGAAAACTCGATTCCAGTGCTTACGAAATACGATTCGTTTCAAGCCAAGAAGATGCTGCAAAGTGATCATTGCTACAGCTGTGCTGCACAACTACCTGAAGCAGCATGGCTGTCCTGACCTGCCAATGGAAGATCAGGATGATGCAGATGTGCCCATGGTGGCAGAGGCAGCCAATGACCAGCGAGGACTTGCACACAGAGCTGCTTTCACAGTGCAGCACTTCAGCATTTAAATATGGAATGTATCCATTATGGTATGGTGGTGCTTGCATACTGTTTCTGTACAAAATTACAATAATGTAGCAAAATTAAACTAGTGAACCAAGTCGGGTAAAATGTAGTTTGTGATGATTAATACTCACTCACACGCCAAATGACAATACATAAATTTTTATTTTTCACAATTCCTCATATTCACCATGGCTACTAGTATGCAGAATTCTTTTTTGGAGCATAGCCCTCTCTCCCAATTTCATATCCAGTTCAACCTCTAGAATTCTCATTTTCATTTCATGTTCTTCTTTTAAATATTCAATTTTACGCTCATGAAATTCTCTGGCTAACTTTTCATGCATAGTTATCTTTTTTGGTCTCTGTTGGATGGTAGCAGCTTCATCTCCCAGGGGTGCCATAGCAGATGTGGAGGGTTCAGGCTCGTTGTGAACTGGCTCTTGATTGGTTTCCTCTGGAAAAAAAGACCACTGTTCCAAACTCAAATCAACTAATATGGTCCTGTAACCAATTTACTTCCTAAGGTATATTTACCATTTGTGCTCAGTTCTCCATGTTCACTGTCCAAATGGTCATTGTCTGGTATACCATCCAGAGGTTGCTGGTGCTCTATTATACCAGACAGCAAGTCACCCAATTCATCACATGTGTCCTTTATTGGTGGTCCACCACCTGTAATAAATCGCTCTCTTCTGCTTGCTGCATTCTCTTTTTTTAATCCCAGTTTAATGTTCTTCCATAGAACCTATGAAGGCAGATATCATTCATTAGTTTTCTTTTTTGATGTCACAAAAATAGTAATATGGGAAATCTGAAATACTGGTACTGATAAGGCATAATAAAAATAAGTTTGTCTCCTGATAATTTAGGTCATGGTGGAGAAATGATTGTATATTTCTTTCCCCCTCACATATAGGTATGGATTTTCCTTTGTGCAACATATCTTACTCTACCACCATGTTTAACATGCATATGCCCCTTTAAAATAGGTTACTATCCTTTTAAACAGGATATTCATTCAATGTGAATGCTACAAGCAGCAGGAGTATTGTATTTGGGTAGGCCATAAATAAGCAGGGTATAGGCAACAGGAAACAAACACATATTTTTGTGCCTAATAATGAAGATTAACTCACCTGCAGTTGTTGTACTGTTCTTGTGGTGACATCTTCATTTGCATTGAATTCTTTGCCAATTGCAGTCCAAGCACTTCTTTTCTTATGTTCAATAGCAGCAGTATGGATTTTGCTTTCAATGACTGGATGGTTCGATACAATTAGTTTTAGTAGTGCTTTTTCATGCTCACTATAATTTTTGGAGCGAATTCTCTTTGCCTCTGACATTGTGTTGTCTCAAAATTCACTGCAACAATGGTGTTTCATACTCCATTTCAGGTTTTCATGAGCACAATTGGACCAACAGCCTGTGCTTCCACTTAGTCTAATGAGGCTTGAACCAGGTGTTCTCATTAAGCTTACTCCAGGACTCCATAGTCTCAGACTAACTAAGCCAAATTTATGCCATGTTCATGCAAGCCACTTAAATAGCCAGGATTAACTAGTCTGATTTAGGCCTACTTCAGTCTTGATTTAAGCCCTGTCTCCGAAACCGGCCCAAAGGGTTTTGAGTGTTTATGACACCTCATAGTATGTTCATTTGAATTGTCTTTTTGACC